GGGGTGCTCTCCTCTGGCTCGGGCAGCACCCCCGGTGGGTACGGCTTCTCCTTGGTGCCCAGGTGGAAGATGAGGGAGAACACGGCCCCCAGCCCCACCACGATGAGGGCCAAGTTCTGGTGAGGCAGTGGGGGTGAGCACAGCAGTGGGGGCAGCCCCCCATCAGCCCCCCAGCAGTCCCAGGGTGAGGAGGGGTGCCCAAAGCCCACAGAGGGCTCAGCGTGGCTCTGGCCCAGTTGGGGAGGTTTTAGGGCACTGACTCCCTGCAGTGCCTCCCCAGCTGGGCCATGGGAAGAGGGAACCCCAGGGACTGTGCCACTCACCCGGAACACAGGGATGTCCTGTGGGCCCAGGTGCTCCATGCGGTCGGGCTGGTCCGTCTGGAAGTTCAGCAGGAGCCAGGTCAGGCCGTACACGGTGATGTTGGCCATGACAGTGAAGGCATACCTGAGCAGAAGGAAACCTTGGGGTGATGCAGAGGGACAAGCATGGGGACAGCACAGCAGGACACCTCTGCCCACAGCTGCCATCCAAGTCAGGTGTGCTACAGCCTCTGCACTCCAGTGTCATGGCTGAGGTGACACCTCTGAGGGCACAAAGCACCTGGCCAGGCGTCAGCCTTACTGCTGCAACTCCCAGTGTGCCCAGCCCAGCTTGGGGCATGACTGGGATGAAACCAAGATCCCTTCAGGTCAGTCTGCTCCCCCTCCAGGCACAGCCCACCTCTGCTTCAAGGATGCCAGGAGCTGCCTGAGCCAGTACCCCCAGAGTGGAGACCCAGGGTTACCCCACACCTCCCTGCTCACCCTGCCCCATGGAATAAACATCCCATCCCACATCCTGGTCCTGACAGGGATGAGCCAAGTGCACTGCCCACCTGGCCCTGGAGACATCTCACCTCCAGAACAGTACCCAGAGCAATGTCCAGCTCTCCTTGAGGGCATCTGGGAAGCACAGTCCCTCCCCTAAATGTCCACTCCCAAAGGAGAAGCATCCCCAGCTCAGGGAAGTGTCCCACAGGCTGTATCACTGACATCCCTGGCATCAAGACATTCCTCCCTGGCAGCAAAGGCTTTGGGCCACCATCCCAGGACCACAGTCCTATGGCACATCCCACACCACACCCACATGGCCCAGCCCTTGTCCTGCCATGCTGAGGTGTGCCACAGCACCCAGGGACCTCCTGTCACACGGTGATGGGACCCAGGGCAGCTCCCCAGGCCCAGGTGACCTCCAAGTGCGGCTGTGCTCACCTGAAAGCTGTGAGCTCCACCTTGCCATGGTCACTGCTCACCAGCTCGGGGATGAGAGCCAGATGGGACACCTGTGTGGCTGCCCAGCCAAACTGGAAGATGATGATGAAGGGGAGGTAGTAGATGAAGGCTGCCCATTGTGGAGTGCTGTCCCTGCAGGCCAGGCAGGGGCTGAAGACAAAGGGAAAGGACAGGAGGACACAGGTGGTGCCTGTAGAGAGAGCAGAGCAGTGAGGCTGCACTCCTGTGTGGGACGCCAGTGTGACACACACTGAGCCCTCTCCAGGACAGGTCCTACCCCAGAGCTGGGGAGGGAGGTGGCTCCTTCCCCAGCCAGATGGGACATGTGGAGCTCCAGACACCCCCTCAGCCTGTCCTGCACAGGGAATGTCCTTCCCTCTGGCACAGACAGACAGCCCCAGCCAAGGTCCTTGCCCAGCACTGTTCTGTCCCCTCAAGACACCATGACAGACCCTCAGTGTCACACCCACAGGCAGCAGGAGGTCCCCAGGTGCAGATATCCAGTCAGATAACCCCTCCCTGTGCCTGCCCCTGGTGATATGGCACCCCTAGGCTGGGAGGGCTCTGGCTGTCCCAGGGGCACTGGCACCCTGTGTGTCTCCATGTCCCCTCTTCTGTGGGGCTGGCAGTGGGGCTGGCAGAGAGAGCCATGCTTCCACCACACTCAGACATCACCCACCGTGTGACAGGGTGACACAGAGACATGGGGGCTCCGGGAAGGGCCCGCTGAGTCAGGGACAGCAGAGCCAGGCTCCTCCCTCTGCTGTCCAGCACAGGGACACAGCCTGGGGACGCTGCGTGGGGCCAGCCTGGCCTCACCCTCCCCCTTCCCAGAGTCACAGAGTCTGTCTGCCGAGCGGCTCCACAGACCCCAGACCCCAACACAGCCTGGTGCCCTGTCCCACATGTCCCCCACAGCCTCACTGTGTGCTGATGAAGAGCTGTTCCTACAGCTGAGGGACACCTGCTTTGCCAGGTCCCCAAGGTACTCTCTCCATTTTGCAAGAACCTCTCTTCCTCATGAGTGATTCCTCTTCCTCCCACCCATGAAGGGGATTTCCTCCTCCTCCTCCTCCTCCTCCTCCTCCTCCTCCTCGCTCCTACACAGCACAGCCATGCAGGCCAGGGCAAGGCCAAGGACAAAGCCAAGGGTAGCTGTGACAATCTCAGCCCAGCCCCATCCATTCCCAAGGGGTGCTGGGTCCCCACACTGGCTCATACTTCTTGGCTTTGGCGCTCCAGGACCTCTGAAGGACAGGGGACTCAGGCACATGAGGCGCCTGTGTCCCAGACAAACCACAGGCACAGGAAGGTCCATGAAGGCTCCAACCAAGCCAGATCCTCTCTGTTCCCTGGGTTTTAACTGGGCCCAGGTGAGGGGTGAGGGTCCCAGGGCCCCACAGGGTCAGGCTCTGCAGCCCTGTTGGGCTGTGAGGGCTGCCAGGGGAGCGCTGGGGCAGCAGCTGTGGGGCCCGGCTGCTGCAGCCTCCAGG